TTCACCCTTCCTCCTCCCTGCATTCCTACCCCCTAAAACATGTTTTTACTTCCTGGTTCTTGTTTTGATAAGCAGAACATTATTTGTTCTTACATCGTTGGATTCCTCCCTTAGGTATGTTGACTTAAGGTTTTTTTAAAAAGATAAATGTAAGAAGTTGGCTAATAGTATAGTACTATTTCAGCTGAGTAAAGCTGTCCATTTACAGAATATCCCATATTTCTTCTACCTTACAAAACTATTCCACAAGACAAGGCAAAACTTGTTTTAATATGTATTTATAATTTTTTCCAGTCCTAGAGCTTGAACTCAGGGCCTGAAGGCTGTGCCTAAGCCTCTTTATGCTCAAGACTAGTGCTCTACTACTTGAGCCACAAAGCTACTTCCAGCCTTTTCTGAGTAGTTTATTGGATAAGAGTCTCACAGACTTTCCTGCCCAGGCTGGCTTTGAACTGTAGATCTCAGCCTCCTGAGTAGCTAGGATTACAGACATGAGCCACTGTTGTCTGGTTAAAAGGTTGTTTTAAACTTCCCAACATCATTCAGCATGCCAGGCTCTAAGGCAAACCCTAAGCCATAATTTTTAAATAGTCTGAATGCAACTTTTGAATGCATCAGAATTACTAATGTAGGCCATGCACGATGTTATGTATCTGTAATCTCCACTACTCATGAGGCAGATTGGGAGAATCATGGTTTGAAGGTCAGTAAAGTTATTTAGAATTTATTTTATCAAACAAGCTGGGTAAAATGATATGACCTGTAATTTCAGTATATGGGAGACAGAAGTAGGATTGTAAGCCAAAGCAAGCTCAAGCAAAAAGCATGGGACTCTATCCATGGCTCAAGTGAGAGTGCCTATAATAAGCACAAGGCTTTGGAGTACTTGAGTTTAAACTCCAGTATCACCAAAAAATAAAAAATTTTTAAAAGGAAGAAGAAGAACAAGAGGAAGAGAAGAGAAGGAAGAGATCAGTGACAAACCATTTTAATATTACCGCCCAGATTTTAATTCAGCAACTCTGAAGAACATTCTGGACATACAGGAATCACTTTTAAAATCTTTCAGGTTCTCCACAATACTGCACTTATATAAGATAAATAGAATTTAACTCCAGTTAAGCAGCAAAATGCCAGACGTGGAGACATGGCTCAAGTGGTAAACTACCAGCCTAGAGTGAGAAAATAAACTAAGAGTGCAAGGCCTAGCACAAGAGAGAGAGAGAGCGAGAGTGAGAGAGAGAGAGAGAGAGAGACAGAGAGACAGACAGAGAAACAGAGAGGGAAGGAAGAAGGACGGGAGGGAGGGAGAGGAAGGAGGGAGGACAGCCTAATCATAAGGAGTTGGGGATTTTTTATGTTTATATTCATCAAGGGGGTAAGCCATAGTTTGCTCTACTTGTAGAATACTTGCCTGGCTTTGGCATCATTGTGATACTGGCTTTGTAAAACGAGGTTGGAAGGCCTTCCCCTTTTCCATTTTTTTTTTTTGAAAAATTTTGAAAGGTCTGATTCATATTAGTTCTCCCTTAAATATCTTATAGAATTCAGGGATGAAGAAATCAAGTTCTGGACTTTTTGGATTTTTATAACTGACCCAGTTCAATTTCTTACTAATTTCATTCATTACTAATTTCATCTCATTACTAATACATTTAGATTTTCTATTTCTTCCTGTTTCAGACTCGGTGAGGTCTGTGTTCCTAAGAGTCACTATACTGTCTTTTGAGTTCCCTTGTATAACAACAGTTGACTACTAGTAGTATGGGAATATATCCCAAATATGGGATAGCTCTCCTGTCCCTCCTAATTGAGCCTTTTTGTGTGTGTGTGTGGGTGATGGGGCTGGTCGATGTCCCTGAGCTCTTTTGCTCAAGGCTAGCACTCTATCTCTTTGATTCACAGCTTTCAGTTTTTGGTGGTTAACTAGATACACAAATCTCACAGACTTTCTAACCCAGGATGGCTTTGAACCACTATCCTCAGATCTTAGTCTCCTGAGTAGCTAGGATTACATGTGTGAGCCACTAGTACCTGGCTGTTATTTTAATTTTTGTTTTACTATCATCCTCTTTTTCAAATAGGCCTCTCATTACTTATATTTTTCTCCCACTATACAGTGAAAAGTAAGTGTTTTACTTCCAAATAATATGAAAAATACAATTGTTTCTTAATTAGAACTACTAAAGAAAAACATCAAATAGAACAGGACAAAAAGCAAGCACTAATATTCTGTAGCACTGCAGAGTTTTCTTGGCCCCTTACCACTTAATTTTCCCACAGAGAAACCTTGCTCTTACGTCCTAACTCATAATATAAAGCTGATGGACTATATTTATACTTGATATTTGACTCACCAATGCTGCATGACATATATGTACACAATTCTAATAAAAATGCATACCTGAACTCCTTTTAGTGTGTGATTTAGTGTATCAATAAAGTTTTGAATTTCATCATTTTTATTTGCCAGAGTTGAAATGATCCTTTGTAGAGCTTCCTAGGATTAAAATATTATCTTTTAATAAAAGAAAATCATAAATCTTAACAACTTTATGTAAGCATATATTATATAATGAATAGGAACAATGTAAAGATCCTTATTGCTCAAAATTTCCAAAGGCCTATAATTACAAAAGGTTTATACTTTTGTACTGTCTTAAACTGTCTTATTGCCAGTATACAACATCATCATAATTTCGGACTGAAGATGATCAATATGATTTCATACAACAATGCTTTTTAGGCCATAAGGCCATGGGAAGGAAATAGAGCCAAATTCTTAAAGGCTGCAAAAACAAATGGAAACTTCTCATGTAACATCAGAATATGAAGAATAAGGGAAGGAGACATTGACATTCAAAAATATTTTATTTATTTACAAAAATTTTAAAATACACCTTACAAATATGAAACTAGGTAATAAACATGCATCTAGGATAGTAACACTCATTTCAACCTTATATATGTTTGGAACCACAGTAAATAATCCATTTTTGTAGCCAATATCAAAGACTTTATTAATATTTTATTATTTACTTTGGTCATACTCTAGTACTGTTCAGTAAAAGTTCATTTTGTTGTTGTTGTTGTTGTTTTTTGGCCGTTCATGGGGCTTGAACTCTGGACCTGGGTGCTGTCCCTCAGCTCTTCAGCTGAGCCACAGAGCCACTTCCGGCTTTCTGAGTGGTTTATTGGAGATAAGAGTCTCACAGCCTTTCCTGCCCCGACTGGCTTTGAACCACCATCCTCAGATCTCAGCCTCCTGAGTAGCTAGGATTATAGGCATGAGCCATCAGTGCCTGGCTTGTTCAGTAAAAGTTTTTGTGCTAACAAAAATGTTCTGTTAATGTACAAGTCGTTATGTCGAAAAGGAACTTTACAACTTTGGCGGGGGAGGGGAGCTGGGAGGATTGGGTGGGTGGGGGAGGGGGAGGATGGGAAGGGATGGGAAGGGGAAACAAAGGAGACTACAATGCTTGATAAGAAATGTACTCATTATCTTGCTCATGTAATTGTAACCTGTCTGTACAGTATTTTCACAATAAAAAAAAAACGAAAAAAACAAAAACAAAAACAAAAATGTTCTGTACATACTCTATTCAAATGGGAGCCACTAGTCAGGTTAATATAGTCTTTATGTGGTAGCACAACAGAGGAACTCATGTATTAACTTTTTTCTTGAGACAAAGACTTGTTACACAATACATACCTCACTGCTAGTGAGGTAAAGATTAGGCTCAGACTCACTCCACAGACTGTGCTTTTAACCTCTTTGAAATACTGCCTCTAATTCCAAATGACTACCCAATTATATGGGATACCTAAAATTCTACAAATATTTGGTTAGCTAAGTTTTCAATGATTTTTATATAAAACTTCTGGAAATTCCATAAGTAAAGATTCACAGCTGTGTACCATGAACTATACCTAGCAAACTTCAGGGTAAAGATACCCTCACTGAGCTAGAACAGGGCAAGAGTTTATTATATTTTATTATATTCTATGAGAAAGAAGTGCCAGATCCCAATGGATTCGGGCCAACAACGAAATTACAATTGTCATGGTATATGTGAGTACAATAAAAACTCAAATGAATTTACATACACAAAATATAAATAAATACGTACATAAAAAGGTGGATTTAATTCAGAGGAAAATTAAACCTTCCAATTTTTTATTTTGTCTTTTACTAGCAAGTTTTGTATGTGAGGAACTTTGCTGAAAAAAGCTTTGAAAACAGCTGTAGCATATTGCCCCAGCAAGGTAGGCTATAAGCCCCAAAGATTTTCTAATAAGACTTCTTGTTTTTAAAGCTCCTGTTACAAAGATACCCAAATGCTCTCATATTCAAATTAAGTGTTACCTACCTTCTGAAAGTTACTAGACTCTTGTCTAATAGTGATGTTAGAGGCTGGAATACAGCATTTACCAATTGCAGTTTTCTCATTCACCTTAGCACAGCACTATCCAATCGAAATATATTATGAGCCAATAGTAGCCACATCAAAAAAGTAAAAGAGAAAAAAATCAAAGTCATTAAAGTATTTTACTTTACCCAGCAAATCCAAAATATTGTTTTTTTATGTATAATTAATACTTAGAAACTATCTAGCTACGCACAGTGGTGTACACCTATAGTCCAGCTTCTTCTGGGGCGGTGAAAGCAGGATTGCTGGGACCTAAGAGTTTGAGGCCAGCCTGTACAACACAGGAAGAGCCCAATTAAGAAAAAGTATTATCTATGAATTCCTTTCTCATTCTTTTTATTTTTGTCGGTCATGGGGCTTGAACTCTGGGCTTGAGCATTGTCCGTCCCTGGGCTCTTTAGCTCAAGGCAAGTGCTCTACCACTTGAGATACAGTGCCACTTCCATCCTTTCTCATTCTTTTTAGGAAGGGTTTACTAAATCTTCAAAACCCAGTGTATAGTTTCAATTTACAGAACATCTCTCAATTCAAACTTGCTACATGTCAAGTGCTTTAAAACCTCACATGTCGGTGGTGGAGCTTGAACTCAGGGCCTGGGTGTTACCATAGTTAAGATATGGAACCAACCCAAATGCCCCCCCCCCCCCAGTAGATGAATGGATCAAGAAAATGCGGTATATATGTGTATATGATGTCTATATATGTATATACACACACATACAATGGAATTCTATGCTCCCATCAGAAAGAATGACATTGTCCCAGTTGTAAGGAAATGGAAAGACATAGAAAAAATCATATTAAGTGAAGTAAAGAAGATCCAAAGAAACATAGATCCCATGGTTTCCCTCATTTGTAATAATTGGTATATGACTAGGATAGTCCCAGCAGATGAACATTATGGCTCAATAGCTACATACATATGACCATAAAAGATGATGCTAAGCAAAATAAACTCCAAGACATGGAAACAAGAGGTTTTTCTTTGTCGTCGTTTTTAATGTACTATGTGATTTCTTTTTTCTTCTGTGTTTTTTTTCCCCTATGGTTTATTCCCTGTTATCACTGTATTTACTTTTGGCACCCTGGGTATTGTATATACATTTATCTAAATTAGAGAAGGGAAGGGGAACAACAAAATGATGAGACAATGGACAAAGGGTGAACCAATGCAACAGCGATACTTACAGGACAATATGGTGGAAATCAACTGTACAACATGGGGAGAGTTTCAGGGGGAGCAAAAGTGGGAGAAAAATGAAGCTAACAAGGTCCACAAGAAATGTACTCACTACCTTATGGATGTAACTGTAACCCCTCTGCACATAACCTTGACAATAAAATTTTTAAAATAATTAAATTTTTTAAAAAAAAAACCCAGGTGGCTAGAAGCTGGACAATGTAATTTTAGAGGCCTTTTCCAACCAAATGTCTACAAAAGTCTTAAGGGTAGAAACAAGGAATAGGACCTACTAGTCCTATTCATTTGGAATAAAACATAAACAATCTAAAAGACTTCTGAATCTTTTTCATAAAAAAAGCAGCTTTTCTTTTTTTTTTTTTTGTCAGTCATGGTGCTTGAACTCTGGGCCTGAGTGCTGTCCCTCCGCTCTTCAGCTCAAGGCTAGCATTCTACCACTTGAGCTATAGCGCCACTCCCAGTTTTCTGGTGGCTTATTGGAAATAAGAGTTTCATGGACTTTCCTGCCGGGGCTGGCTTTGAACCATGATCCTCAGATCTCAGCCTCCTGAGTAGCTAGGATTACTGGCGTGAGCCACCAGCACCCAGCCAAGCAGAATTTCTTTATGAATTTTTGTTAAAAGAATTAATTATAATTCTTGAATTATAATTGTCATATACAGAGAGCAGTTAAAATGTTTAAACTAGCTAGATGTTTGTCAGTGGCTTACAACTACACTCCTAGCTACTCAGAAGGCTGAGATCTTAAGAATTGAGATTCTGAAGAAAGAAAGAAAGAAAAAAAAAAAACCTAGGAGATTCTATCTCCAACTGACAAGCAAAAATGCCAGAATGAAGGTGTGGCTCAAGTGGTAGAGCACTAGCCATGAGCAAAAAACGCCAAACAAGAGCTCAAGACCTTCAGTTCAAGCCCCAGTTCTTTGCACACACACACACACACACATACACACACACACACACACACACACATTCAAACTAGTTTCTTTTGCCAGTGTTTCACTAATTTCTCAGTTATTATCTACATTAATTGCCACTAAAAACTAAAAGATTGCTGGGCACCAGCAGGCTCACACCTGTAATCTTTGCTACTCAGGAGATTGAGATTTGAGGTTCATATTTTGAAGCCAACCTACACAGGAAAGTCCATGAGACTCTTATCTCCAATTAACCACTAAAAAGAAGCAAGTGAAACTGTGGCTCAGTAGAATACTAGCCTTAAGCAAAAAACCTCAAGTACAGCACCTAGGCCCTGAGTTCAAGGGACAGAACCAGCCTCACTAAAAGAAAAAGAAAAGAAATGAAAGAACCCAGAGAACCACCTCTCATTTATGTATATATAGAGAGAGGTGGGGGGAGTGTAAAGATACTGTACAGAGGGGTTGCAGTTACATGATTAAGGTAATTCGTACATTTCCTATCAAGCATTGTTACCCCCTCCTTTGTTTTTCTCCTATCATCTCTTCCGTGCCCCCCCAACCAGCTCTCATTTGAGATTCTAGGACAACTATTTTAAAAAAAGATACTGCAACAAGAGACAAATTCTTCTCACCTGTAAAGTTTAATGCTGACTAATACTTTTCATAAAGTTTTCCAAGGATCTTAAAGACTGAAAATGTCCTTGTGCCAAGGTTGGCAGCTGACAAATGCAAGACTGTACCTAAGGACAGCTGACCTGCTAATTAAACTCAAAGATCACCAAAACAGACTGTCTACTTTGAATGATACTGTCTTGTACTTCCAAAAAGTAACATCTCCTGAAAACTAATCAGATCTTTACCATTACCCTGTAATTCATTCAAAGTCTGCTACTGCCACAAGTTAAAACATGTTTCTCAATTTGTATTATCCTAAGAAGTATGGATTAGTAAT